TAAAGCAGATCGATGTCACTGGGAGATACTCACATGAGCAAATTCTAGTCACAGAAAAAAAATAAGCTTGAATGCAAGAGGGGGGGGGGGGGATTTCAATATTGACTGGCCGAGGATATAGCATTAATCATTGATTGTTATACTAGTATGGTTTTGGTTGCAAACACTTGTTTCATAATCAGATCCAGTAAAAATTGTGTAACACAAGTGTCTTATGTGTAATTAGTTTTCAGTTAATTGCATTAGTTCTTCGAAAAGTGATTAGTGTGCTTGATGTGAATACCATGCTGGAGTTTGTTGTGTTGAATCAAAGGAATTGTAACAAGATTACTACACGTGCTGGATGATATTAACACTGAAACAACAATTTTGCATTGAACGGATTAGATAATCAGCAGAAACACATTAATTTGTTCAAGGAAAATGTATACGTCTCACAAAAGACTTCGAAACATTGTTTTATTCCAATGCGCACGAATATATTATATGTAGAAATCGAGTTTTCTTGAAGAACAAAAGCCCGTCCACTTTGAAATTGTTGTATTTAGGTAATGCAAAAGTTGTGTATTTGCTTTTAGAAATGCTTTTACCTATCCATCCTTTGATCTATGGTATTGTTATTTTGTATGAAAAGTGCAGTTTTTCTGCACAACTTACAGTAAGTAGAAGAACAGATACCATGTGAAAGAAACACATTTATTGATGCTTGTGTAATTAGATATATAACGTGAATCGCGGGATTATCTTTTTTGTTCTTTTACACTTAGAAGCATTAGAATTAGAGTTTTTGACCAAATCCGATATTTTTCATCCTAAATGACTTTTATATACTGAAGAAATCTTTATAAAAACAAATAAAATGATTACAAAAAGTTAACAACTCACTACATGAACTAACCTGTCCACCTGAGTTGATAAAGGATGGTCAGTTACTTTTAAATGAGCTTATTCAAGAGAGAATACATGTATATTTTTTTCTCATAATATCATTACACTGTCTACCTTTAAACATTTGTTAAAGCTGATCTCGATAATTCGTGAGAATCGTGTTGTATGAAGAAAAATCCTGATTTCTAATCACAAAAGCGGGTACCAATGTATTATATGTACATTTTCATTTTCTAATGTCAAAAAGCTGATCTGTAGGAAATCATTTTAGTTAGTTATTCGCTTATTGTATTAGATGTATTATAGAACCTATAAGTAGTATACATCAAATTTATAACATTATTGATTTGTATTTAATTAGACTTTAACTTAACGTTTACTTCTTAAAGCTAAGTTAGTAAGTCCTCTTACAATTTTGTAAAACCGTTTTCTCTAGCTACAAGTCCTAGGATGAGGCTGTTGAAATTGAGACAGAAAGATTGAAAATTCATTATGTTTTTGAAAATTTATCCATATTCCTGGACATTTAGTCAGCAAAATATATACAATGAGACAGTAAGTTATTAGCCCTTTCCAAAAAAATTAATTTGTGTCTCCTAGGCTCAGTTTCGAAGGCGGGGCAAAATTGATCAGGACATAAAACGCATTATTCTGTTTAAATCCTCCTCTCATTATTTAGAAGGCGAATTTCATAAACAAAATATGGTAGTGAACAAATACTTTATCCAGTCGTAAAAATAACGTCATCTGGATTTAGAAATCTTCCATCGGGGGGGGGGGGGGGGGGGGGGTTGAACGTCGAATCCTATAGGCCTCATTTTTACTCGTTTAGCACTCAGTCTTCTATACATGCAGTTTTCATACTGGGATTCATTAAAACGTTTCGTTCAGTTAACTTATCCTGCCCTTTAACTTTAACCGATATCTAAAGTCTTATTCTCTCAACATTTATCAATTCTTACTATGAATTAAAATAAGTATTCATACTTATGTTTCTAAAATATCAACATAATAACTGTTCCTTCACCATACACTTGGCACTTTGAAGTGAAAGTTGCGTGTTCTTCGGATGAGACCTTAAAAACTGAGGCCCCGTATCACGGCAGGCGTTGGCACGATATAAAGGTCCTTCACTGCTCAGTGGCTCTGAGTACGAGTAAAGGTCAAAATTTGAATGTAGCCCTTCACCGGTACATGGTGACGTCTCTACATGAATGAAACATTCTCAAATGGGACGTAAAACAACATACAATGAATCAATCAATCATATTGGGATACTTTACCCAATGTAGACATTAATGGTAACTTATTAATTAAACTTTAATTTATGAGGAACGGGATGACCAACTTTTCTGTCATCAACTTTCATCATTTATGTTTCAATATACCATGATCACCTGCATGCGGTGTTTGACTCATAATTCATTAGAGTGTTCTGTGCATGATCAATTTCTAAATCGAGGGAGGCTTTAGACTGATAAGTTAAATGAAATATGAGGATAACGAACAGTAATCAAGCTCCAATGTCCATTAAAACAGTACAAAATGAGAGCAGAGCATATACGGACCTCTAAAAACATCAGAGAAGGGATCAGGTGCCAAGGAGGAGTAAGCATCTCGTGTTGACCGGTCACACTCCTGTTTCCCTTGTCATGTTCGGGCAAACGTGAAAATCCGTAGACAATTCATTGTGATATTATGACTGGTCTGCAATAAAAAGGCTCAACAAAGGACGTCTGGAACGATTTATTTGAAAAGAAAAAAAGTTGATCGAAGCGAACTTTGTCACGTAAAAGCAGTTTGGTGATTCATTAATTAATATTAATTAGTCGGGGTGCCTGAAAGTTTAAGTACCATGTAGTTAAAAAAAATAGGGGTGACCCCATATTCGAAACAAGTTCCAGTGATTTTAGTACATAGTTTTACACTATGCCAATTCTGCATTAATGCAACTTTGCTAATGGCTTTTGGCAATCTTGTAATCATTATCAAAGAAAAAGTCATGATATCTGAGCAGCTGCATGCACACAATCTATCCCTTCTACCTCCATGGGAATTATTTTGTGTTGCCCAAACTTCTTTTGATGGAAGGTATAGTTTAGGACTCATCGTGCATGGTCTATATTACCTTTTTATGTTTATAAGAGAGCCAACTTAACTTGCATGTATTCTGTACCTGGTCAAAATTTTCAGGTATTGTATTTTTGTTCTAGTGTGGTGACACATTTTTTTTATGAAAATATGTTGCAATGGAATTATGGTGCAAGGTGTCATATTATACATCATTGTGTAAGCTTTGTAATACATTATATTTGAGTTTCCCTTTCTGGTCCCATTTTTTTGTTAACCCTGTATACATTTTCGTCATTTTCTTAAATAAGTAACGTTTTTTAACTTCTACGTGGGGTCACCTTTTTTTTTTTTTTTTTTTTTGCCTACCTTTAACAATAACTCCCAGTCGATTGACAGGAGAACTAAGGAACATAAATAAGTCGATGTTTCAGGGATATCTACAATCTTATTTAAAGTCAAGGTGATAAATTCCTGCCATGGGGGATGCTAGGCTTTACCTAGATTTACAATGATTTTTCGTGGGGTGACAATTTCACACGTTGCTCTCAAAACTATGTAATATTTTTTTTATAATATGAAGTTACCAGGACCATACATAAGTACATAAGTTTATTTTCAAAATGATTTGAAGAAGGTTATTTATTACCCCATTTTAGGAAAATAAGAATTTAAGAGAATGCATGACATCAAGATATAATAACATTTACAGCATAAGCCCCCCCCCCCCCCCCTTTAAACCGATCGATCATGCCAAACAACACTGGTAAAGTCCAATATCACATTAAGCAGCTCCAATTTACCGATTTTCAAATTATATTGACACTTTAGAACTTAGATTTGAAGTTATTTATTTTAACTAATACTGAGAATGGGTTAGTATTAAGACAATCACTGTTTTCAACACGTCGGCGACATTTTAAGTCTGTAAATAGTAACCAGGAATGGAAGAAACTAAAGAATCTCAGTATAAAATTTACATGAAAGACCAATAGCGAGATAGGGCTTAAATGGTTACCAGATTAACTCAACCTTATCTGGCACACATAAAACAATTTTACAACTTTCTGGAGAATTTATGTTTATTACGATGTTATACTAAATTTGTCTTTTAGATGCTCGGCAATAGAAAAGGTTTTAATTAATTATTTTGCCCCTACCCTCAAGCGCAAAATCTGGGAACACTAATTTTACAATTTGATAAAATGACTCGTAGCTTATTGTCATAATGCGTGTTTACTTGCAAAATATCTAGGTATACGGATAATTTATTTCAGAAGAAAATGATTTTTCCCGTTATACCCCCACTATTAATTTCCATCTTGGCAGCATTCTGGATACTGAATCTAGGAACAGTGTATGATTTTTGCAACAGTGTATGCTAGAACATTATATAAGTATAAAAATTGTTTGCCTTCTAGACTCTATGATAAAAGAAAAAAATATAAAAAATCCTTTAATTTTCAAGATATGATCAATTTAGCTACGCCTTTGTGCCTTAATCCAAAGCACAGAGGACATGAATTGAACAATTGGTAGATGACAGGGTTAACTCACACTGTACAAACGCTTTCTGCTAGATGTTCATTGGTAAAGAATTTCATAAGTTTAATGTAGTATTTCAAAATATTATCTTTTAAGTCAAAGCCTCGGGCCTGTACATTGCACCCATGAATGACCATTTTATAATTTTTGTAGAGAGCTGAGTTGCCAAAATACAAATAGTTTTTCGTAAGTACGTCTTTAGGGATTTCAAAGATGTATTTTAAAGAAGGTTTGGTTATATTCCAGGCCCCATAGTGGCTGAGACCATGAAATTAATTATTTTTCCTCCTCTATATCCTTAATGCTACGTACCAAACTGAGTTAAAATATGTGCTGCTATTTCAGGGAAGTTGAAAATGTTCACAAGATTACAAACAAAGCACGAGAAGAACCCACTAGCAATAGGTCAACCGAGTGAACTTAAAATGATATTACACAATAATACACAGGGACAATACAAAGTGTAATTGTCGAAAATATGATTTTATTGACATAATTATATCTCTGATCATGCGATAATTTCAAAAGAGATGAACTTACTATTTCAAATATATATTACATGTATATACCAGTGATATGCCACTTTTACGGAAATGGATTCATACACTGCTTGTCCGAAGGGTATACAGTCTTTCTGTGATTTCTAAAACCAAACCAGGACGGAAAAACGAAGTATCTCTATTCCTTGGAAAAAGAGAACAAACTTTGTATTATATTGGTGATAGCATTTATCCCACATATGCGCCGTTTCATCACTTGATATGTATAAAAACCAATCTATATAACAAAAATTTGCAAAATTTTATACATTTTTATGTCCGGTATTTGATTCATTGTCAACTGATCGTTTGTGTTTAGATTCAACATTTTCTGGCATCGTCTCCATCGAGTCTCGTTTCGTATTAGAAAGTCCTGGAAGAGTGTTACCATCTAAATCACTCATATCTCTTTTATAATTGTAAAGATTCATTCCACCTAGGCTACTAAGACCTCTCTTGTACCCATGTAAACTAAACCCACCCAAAGAATTTAAGCCTCGCTTTGAAAATCCACCGTGGAGTGACATACCACCAAGAGAACTTAAACCTCTTTTGGAAAATCCTCCATGAAGTGACATACCACCAAGAGAACTCAGTCCTCGTTTTGAAAACCCTCCATGTAGTGACATACCACCGAGGGAACTTAGACCTCGTTTTGAAAATCCACCATGTAGAGACATGCCACCCAGAGAACTTAGACCTCGTTTCTTGAATTCACCATGAAGAGACATTCCACCCAAATTGCTGAGAGCTTGCTTATTAAAACCTCCGTGTAATGGCATTCCTCCAAGAGAACTTAACCCTCGCTTGTAACCATGGAGGGAAAAACCACCAAGAGAACTAAGAGCTCTTTTATAATTATGCAGTCCGAATCCACCCAAGGAATCTAACCCTCTTTTATAATAGCTGTGCAGAGACATTCCTCCTAGGTTACTTAGCCCACGTTTTAAATTGTGGAGAGACATTCCGCCTAATGAGCTAAGTCCCCGCTTTGCAAAGTTGTGAAGATTTAAGCCTCCGAGAGAATTAAGTCCTCTTTTATATCCATGAAGGGAAAATCCACCTAAACTGCTAAGTGCTCTTTTCTCATTGTCACTAGAGAAATCCTTGCCACGAATGATTTCATCAATTCTACTCTCTGATGGGGACGTTTGATGAAAAAGATCTAGGACATCACTATTTTGACTCTCTGATGGGGTATTGTTGTCAATTTCACTGTCGATGGGTTCTGGTTCCTGTTGAAAGATGTCTTCTAGATTGTCTCCTGCTTCCCTGTAACCTTTATGTACGATGGTGCCGCCTAGATTGTCAAGGGGAGGCAATGTAGTCATGGAGAGTGGTGCTGGCGTGGTGAGAGTCCATCCCAAAAGTAATTCTAGTAGTTGACTGTCTTCTGAAGGATCGTAACTTCGAGTCTAAAAAGAAGTAAAAAGTAATGTTTATGTTGCTTAAATTTGCCTACATTATTTCTTGTGTAACGGTTGATTGTTTTATGAATATAAAATAAAATACATGTTTATTTTCACCAACAAAGGAGATTGGGGAACAAGGCGTGCAAAATGCAGCATGGCTTTAAAGTTATAAAAGTCATATTCATTTTGTGAAATTACTATTTAAAGTAAAATTTTTGTCATTGAAAAGTATGAAATTTTGACAAACAAAACTTTTCTGCGTATTTTTGTATGAAGAATTGATCACTCTTTGGTGTATGCAGGCTGTTTCATAAAAGAATGATTAAAATCTTTGTGAGATTGATGCGATTTGTGGAGATTTTACATCAAATTATACGTTAAATGAAATATTAAAGAAAATTTTCATCATTGAAATTCAATTTTTCAATTTCATGTTTGTCGCACAATAAGCATTTAATCGCCTTGTTCGCCCATCTACTTTTTCTCTACCTTAAAGAAAGAAATATGATTGCATGAATTTACTTTGAATATAAAATAAAACAAGTGATAAAGATTTTTTACATGAGATGTCCAGTTTTATTCAGTAAAGAACTTGTATTTCATGGCTGGATGGCGGGGGATAGAATTATAGGTTTTGTAACTATACTAGAGTGGTGAATCTTTCCACGGCTATCGTAAACTTGTCCCCCGGCTTATTGGATTACTTTAATCAAGACATAAATGAATTATTGACACTGGGTGTTCTCCCAGAAAGACAATTCCTCGGTAACCGACGACTAATTAGAGACCTAGGCTTTAAGTCAATACCCATGTATTTGACCCTTTAGGAGCTTAGCGGGCACGTGATTAAGAAAAACGATTGCTGTGTTGTGAATTTTGATAGTGTGTTAGAAGTATAACTATGTTAGCGAATGCTTACAACTGATAAGAAAATTTTTTCCAGTCGTTTTATTTCATACAAATCAAACAGAGATTCTTAAAGTGTAATTCATTTTTGATAGCAACAAAAGTTAAGGGATTCGTCGATATTTGAGAAAGCTTTAAAAACACTTCCTAAATTTTCAATATTCAAAATCCTATTAGCTGCGTTGATGTATTTTTGAGGCGTCAATGGTATAAGTTAGAAATTGAATTCTACAAGAAATCCGATTTTTAAGGCTAAAAGATCTGTGTGTAGGCATTGTTTTGCAGGCTTTGCAGTTCTTTACAACTGATTCTATCCAACAGTTCCTTGATCAGAGTATGGTAACAATTGAATTATAAGGCTATTACAGGAAACAATTGTACTTAGTGGAGACCACTGGCCTGATGGTAGGGGCTGTTAATTGACCTTGTTACATAATTTATCTGTGTGAAATATTGGTTTATTTACCATTATCTTCTGTATATAGACGACAGAAGTTCTCGTCCTGTTTATGTGTGCCATGTAATCAACTGAAATAAATAAATTATTGATCTCTGATCTTTAAGTCTCACTGATTTCGATTTCTATCGAATAAGATGTTAATTCCGAGTACGTGTCACATCAACCGTATGTTGAAACAAAGGACTAAAATGCTTATAAAAGTGCAGGGAAAAATTCGTGTAGGTGATGACAAACTAATTAGCAGAGCCTTGTGTGTTTTTTACAGTAGGGTTCGGGTGATACTTTATAATTTCATTATGCTGTTTCAACTCTTAATAATTCAATTTTCCTTACTTTCATCACTTTGAACTAATGTACTTCTACGGTGAATTTTTTCTGTTCATTTTCCAATGAATGTAATGTCTTAGTAACCGAACTACTTTTCATTATTTATTTTGATACAGCTGTTGTTTGTGTTTGTCATTCCAATAATAGTATGAACCCGACTGTGTTATAAACTAATAGTCTCTAAAACGTACGACAATGTTCTTTTCATGTTTGTAGATCTTTTGTGCTTTAAAGGAAATATTTTAATCATATATTTCTATTTTTAAATCATACAATAAAAATTCTTGTTGAGAAGAAAAAAGAAAAATATTCAAATAAATTATTAAGCGAAGTAATTGTTGTCAATGGGTAATGCCGGGGATGGCAAGGGATATAACTCTGTAAAGAAGCACGTGTTTTACGTTTTTTATTTGTAAAGAAAGAATTTACATTGAATTTAGTACAAATTGAAAACCAAACTAGAAAAAAAATTGTTATGTAGGTTATGAAAATTAAATGATAAGAAGGACCTTAGACTAAGTTTTCCTGATGTGAGTGTTATTATCACATTCGCAAGTATTTCGTCTGCACATCAAACTTATACAGGGTATTAACCATGTTAATTGTCACAAGTTGTACGTGTATTTTAAGGTGTATCGACAAGCAAGTTTATTTCTAGATTTTTTTAAACCTGAAGATATCTCTTTCTAATATTCCACTGCACTCCACTCGACGTGTTACCGTTGACCGTTTGCTTACCGACAACAAAGCAAGTTTCTGCATGCTTTATGTGTAATCGCTTTTAAAAATTGCGCGTGAAGATTTTCATAACTCACGTAATCGATAACTTAGTAAATCATTATAAAGACAATAAAACATAACGGGGAATTCTTTATTTTTATGACATTTAAAAGAAAATAATACCCGCCTTGTGTACTACAGGCTTTTAGATCCGCTCCCAAGAATCGTGTAATTTTCCAATCGATATATTTCTACGCACCTGTCGGCATGTAAATTCCGTGCACAATTTTTTGAGTTAGCTAAATAATGAGTATGTACATGAAAAGAAACATGTTTTTCGCTGAAATTGAATTATAAGCATTGACTATATAAATTATTTTGTTCATTGAGAAATGAATCTAAAAAACAAATCGCACACTTTTTTATGAAAGCCTTCGGCTTTCATAAAGTGTGCGATTCGTTTTTTAGATTCATTTCTCAATGAACAAAATAATTTATATAGTCAATCCTATAATATTATTTTTTGATAGCAAATCGAACAAGAAAGAAAAATATAATGTATTCGTTCATCAAGAATTTTGAACACGAAAAAAAACATTTTTTTGTCATTTTACCCTTATTTTAAATAAGATTCAATAAATCTCACTATTTATTTTAATAAAATAATGTTAACAATATTTAAACAGTTTTAAATGTACTAAAAAAATTAAGTGTTCTTAACTCAAAAACATACTGCACATAGCTGAATATACAAATAGTAAAAAATCAACTTCAACATTAACATGTACATGTATATAATATGTCGATTTACAACAAAAAACATAAAATTTAATAAAAATTTACCTATCTGATTTGATATGTTATGATTCGGTATATGTTCACTATATTTGCAGAAAGTAGCTAACATTTTCAATTTTGTATGCACATGTGCATAATCTAAAAGAATTGCAATTTTCGATGCAATTCAAAAGTTATACCCTAACCCTAACCCTGAGTTTTTATAAGGCCCGATGTCAAAATAAAAATACAACAAAAACTGGCCAGACCTTGTTACATGTAAGTACCTAGTAAATTTTATGATTGGTTAGTACATAGCTAAATGCTGACTGTAATTTGGTGTGAAACATACATGTGTATCTATGCACTAGTAAAACCTACCTTTTCCCCATTAATCCCAGTTTCCTTTTTATATTTCTATTTTCAGTATTATCAGAATTTTTACTTGGTTTATTGATATACATACATGTATACATACAAATTTTAGCAGATCCTAATTGCTAAGGTCTCTTAAATTATAGATAATACAGTGTACAAGAGGGTACATATACGTCATTCATTCAATCAGATTTCAATTATATACAAATGTGTGCCTTTATTCTCTGAATACAGCTTCATGAGCTTACAAACTATGAAGAAAGGGACGAAACTCAGAAACAAGGAAAAAATATCGATTTTTTAAAAGATCGCATGCAATGTCCAAAGCGGAATAACTGAGTCGGGTTCTCTCGGAGATACTGAAGCAGGATTCGTTGTGCATTTTCCCTGTATCAATGTATGCAGTATATATGTACTCTGCAAGGCCGTAACAACCATTGAGGAAAGTGAAAGATTTGCATTTTTGTAACTAAAAACGAAAGCAATCCTTTGCATAAATTATTTATGATATGTCATTTTACTTAATAAATATTTTCAAAAAAAATAACTCATTTTTTTTCTGCTTTAAGATGAGATAATGCTTCTGCGATATTGTTTCGACCTTCTACAAATTACTTCTTTTCCTTGATTGTAAAGGGGCCGGGTGGGGGTTACAGTGCTTTCAAGACATGATTTACTAAAAATTAGATATGAATTTGTCTTGCTTAAGAAGATGGGCGAACAAGGCGAGTGAAATTTGTATAGTGTAACAAATATGAAGTTGAAACATTAAACCTGAATCATAACAAAATTCTATTTGATATCTCACCTAACATATAATGTATACTTTATTAAATTTTTCAAAATTTGCAAAGATCTTACAAAGATTGAAATCATATCATATACACACTAAAGAGGGCAAAAAGGGATCATTTCTCATACTATAACACAATTTTTCTTTATATGAATATGAGTGATTTATGAAAATCAAACAAAGCCAAAATACATGAGAGGAAATCTGATTTGACAAAAATTAGCATTTATAAACATAAATGTGTTTTTGGCAACCATTTTAAACAAAGAGTTATAGTGTATCTCCTACTTAAGAAATAATTAGGAAGAGTTATCCAATCTTGGTCACCGCTAGGGGGCATCCCAAACAGAAGTAACGCTGTTATTTTAGCTGGAAGTTTGATTGTTTTTTGTTTAACGTCCCTCTCAAGAATTTTTCACTCACACACAGCTCCTTACTCTGCCACTCTAAAGCAGACACTCTAACCACTGCGCAACGCGGGCGAGTTTTTTCACAGCCCACCTCCCTCCCTAACCATGTAAAGCAATATGTATGTCTATTAAATTACAGCTAATGTTCATGGCATTGTTTAAGCATCAGTTGTAATAATTGTTTTGATCTAGTCAATCAGTTTATACATGTACCTCCAGGTGCAGTTTTCTA